ATTTGTGAAGAAGCCCAGGTGGGCATATGAGGGTAGAATTTAGGCCATCATGGGAAGAAAACTGCTTTGATAGTGACTGCAGCAATTCACACGTGGAATTCAAAGCATCCAGACAGGCCAAGCAGAACAAAAGGTCTATCATTTACTGGAGACTTTTCTGCAGAGAGCTACTGCATGGAAAACCTAATGATGGATGCAGTGAACTGAAGCATTAGTAATGGATATTAATGAACATAATCAGTGTGAATTCTCATTTGTTTGCTAGGGACAGGGCTGTATTTACACACAGACAGACCAAGTGGCTACTTGGGGTTCCTCACGCTGTAAAGCTCCATCATGGATGGCTGCTCTGTCTCAACTGACCCTTTTGTTTTTGGCCTTTCCTCGCTGTCATGTTCGAGCTGTGCAGCCGACTGGAACTACATGTGTCACGGGTCTGGTTATCTTCCCTTTGGCCCCAGCTTGGGATGGAGCCAGGTGGGACAGGATTGAGGCAAACGGGCTCCTGACGGACTGCGGGTGCTGTGGCACAGAAGGAATAACTTAGTTCTTTGCATTCCAATTCTGTTAATGTGGGAATGCACAAGTCCCACACAAGCTATGAAGTTGATCATGGCTTTGATCTCCCTGAAATCAGTTCTTATGGAATGGTGGGAATGGTGAAGTGATATTGTAACAGAATCTTTTTATTTCCTCTCTGGATTTAGGGGAAGGAAGTTAACAACTCCAACTTGTTTTTTGGTCTTACAGAATATAACAAAAGCACATAAGTTTGTCCACCTCAAGTCAGACCAAAAGTCTTTCTAGTGTGGTGTGTCCCTCCAGCAGTCAACACAGAGGCTTAGAGAAGAAGGCAAGAGCAGAGCATATATAGCATGCTATATCTGTAAAATATTCTTTCTCACTAGAATTTTGTGGTTCAGGGACTAACTGAGCTGGCCTCTCCGGCACTCAGTTAATCTCATTTGGAGCCCGACAGTAATTAACATTGACCCTCCTCAAACCACTTTGCAACATGAACCAACAAATTATCATGAACATACAAAGAAAAAAAGTCCTTCCCTTGGGCAGGTGGAGGTGCAGAGCCTGCATGTCTGTTCCGAGGCCCAAGGCCAGTTCATGGCAGAACTGGAATCAGAAACTGGAAAATCGTGGTCTCTTTTCAGAAGTTTAGCAGACAAACCCATCTTGCTCGATCTGTTGCTGCCAGAAATTATTTATTCAAAATGTTTGTTGGAGCAAAAATGAGGCTAAATATTCTCGTATATATACACACACATATAAATATACCTATATATCTTATACATATTTACATATTTGCAAGAGATGCTGTTACCTGGTTACCTTTGCCGACAAGAGCACTCTTTTCAGTTTTTTTTTCCCCTAAATTTTTAGATTGGCAAGTACCAATTTGCATAAGATGTTTCCAGCCCTGTGGCATTTCTTTGCACACCACAGAGCCTCCCTGAACCTTTGCATGCTGTGAACAGCTCCAGCAGTGCATTGCTTTACATGAGAGGGTCTCCCAGCTTCTGCTGATCAGTAGCTGATCTGGGGGAGTCAAAAGCAAAATTCCTGCCTTGCAACCAGTTGCAAAGAAAAATCAGCTCTCTGCCTCAGGAAAAGCACAGCTGCCTCTGGGACTTTCTCCTTTTAAATTACCGCTGAGTTTGAGCTGGTATTTTGCTCCTGCTGCAGCCCAGAAGGTGCTTTCCATGGGCACTGAGATCTCCTGCCCGGCAGCAGGCAGCCAGGCCGGACCTCGGCGCACGGCCCCTGCAAGAGTCTTGTCCACAGGTCCACAGGTACCGGCGTGGAGGTCCGTCCTTAGGAGCCTTGATTTCTAAATAGGAGATTTCCACCTGGAGACTGAATTTCATGGGTCTTTCAAAGACTTCTGCACAAAACCGTGGGTAAAAAGCATCAGCCTATACACCAGTCAGATTCAGCTAACAACAATAATATTTAATTTTGCTGTAGGAACCATTGCAAGCAAGACAAATTGTGTTCCCATTTTTCAGAATGAAAGCCAGAGATTCATTTTAGCTGCGTCTTCAGAGTCATCCGGAGACTTAGCTCAAAGCAACTACCTGAGCATACACAGTTATACCCAGAGCAGACATTAGCACGGGGGTGAGCAGAGGGACGCGTTAGCACCACTTATCCATCCCCTTGCCTGCCCGGAGACAGCCCCGCGCGGCTCTGCCCGTTCTTCTTGAGCGAGAACTTGACTGTCCATCTGCACAGCCTGCTGCTTCCCTCCTCCGTGTGCGCAGAGACCCGGGGCCTCCTGCAGCAGCCATGCACCGAAAGGGAAGAAAAGGCGCCTTGGTTTCAGGGGGTCGTGAGGATTGCCTTGGCTCCACGACAAAATGGTGCTAAAAAGCGGTGCGAGGGAAAACAGACATTTAGTGGCCATCCTCCTAAAGAGAGAGACAGGACACGGTTTTGTGTTTTCAGCCCTCCTGCTTTTACAGCCTCCTGTGTGTGTTTCATGCAGTTTCTTTCATTAAAAGGAGGACCAAGGACTTTATGAATTTAAACTAACTTCATGAGCAATAATAAATTAAAATTATCTAGCTCAATGTTTTCTTCATGCCCCGTATTAATTATAAGATGCTTTATCTAAACCACTGAGTACGAAGTGTGAGGTCTTTAAAAAAAACTCACAAAATCATTAAAGTTCTTTTAATTTCTAATAAGAGTGAGTTAGATTTTATACTTCATCAATCAAGAATACATTCACAAATTCAGCATAAATACAAGGTTTCTTGATTTTTTGTGACATAACATAACACTTTTTCCTTGAAGATTTTCCACCTAATTAAAAAGCAGATATTTATGGCTGCATGAATGCTACAGCTTTGCAGATCAGTAACAAGACACACCGCTATAACCATCTTGCCTTTTTATTGTTATAGAGAAGGAGGAGCGCATACAACATAACCACTACCATCACAGGTGTAAACTCGCAGTGTCATTCTGACCCCTTGGGAATCAGAAAACTTGCACTTATCATTCTCTTCAGTTTTTATCATAATGAACTGCATACATCAACTGTCAGCAACCATTTTTCTAAATAAAACACAGCCAAAAATAGTACTTACTAACAGGGCTTTCAAAGATTCTTTAAGGTACTAACAAAACAAGCATGCACACTAGCAATACAAAACCATAGATACGGTGCCCTCTGCAAAAGCTGAGCTGTGCTGACAAATTCCCAGGTTCAGTGCTGGAATTCCACCTTCCACAAAAAGCCAGGTCAGGATCTGTGCATTGCTTAAGTTCAAATCTCAGTGGGAGCAAAGCAACCGAAGGGGTTGCTTTAAATCTAATATTTAACTGTAAAATAAAAGCTGGTCTGTGGTAAGAAGCTGGTCTATCACATTACTTCTCTTTTATACAAACTGCATGATTTTGCATGTTTTTGGGTGGGCCACAGGGGAATATGCACTTGAGGGCTGCATGAACACCCTCAACACATACTGGATCCTGATGATGTATAAGGGGGTTTTCTAGATTATTTGACAGGACAAAGCAAATGTCCCACTTGCAATGCAGGTGCAAGGAAGCTTTTCCTTGCTGAGAGCCATGTGCCTTTCCAATGGCTTTGGCAGAGCCTATGGCAATGATCTCTGTGGTATTTAGTAGGTCTGCAAACAAAGTAGTAACTTGGCAGTAGGTCACAGTTCTGATGCCTGCTCTAGTGGGAAAAAAAGGGGGAGAGGAGCTTTGAAAACATACAGATCCATCATAAAGTCTCTATCCTTACACTGATACCCTTGGAATTATGAGATCTGGCTTTTGCATTCGGCTTTGGGCTGCTGTTCACCACTAATGAATAAAAAGTACTGAAAAATTAAGGTTCCTCCGTGACTTAGCCATAAATTCTACTGCAGTCAAGCCATTCCAGTTTACTGTTTTTTTCCAAGGATACTTTCTGGAGACATTTAAGAAGCTGCCTTGTGACTCGGGCTGAGATGAGTCTGGTTCACCATCCAGGAAAGGCTTTACATGATGCCTCCTACGGCTCCTTCTTTTGTAATCCTTCACGGAAATATGGAATGATCCTGACACCAGGGACACAAAACCTCTAAAATAAGCTTAGCAATCTTCCTCTCATGTTAGTCTGCAAAGCCAGGTGATGCTCATGAATGTATAATAAGGATGATGATAAAATAAGCATTTCTAGCCTGCTTGCTTTTTAAAAGTTACTAATTAACCTCGTAACTTGCTGAGCAGCCTGACAGTAAAATACCAGCCCATTAATGGGAGATAAATAAATTTATTAACAGGAGTGGATAAAATAACTTTGAAAACCGCTTTTGTTGGCTATGATAGTTTAAGTCTATGAAAAATCTTTTATTGCCTACAAGAATTTTCCATCAGGGCCATTTTCTGTTCCTCTTGTCCTGCCTCCCCCTCCCCACCAAAAAAAAAAGGGGGGGGGGGTGCGGAGAAGTGAAACAATGAGAAGGGATCTGCTTATTTTTTCCCCAGAATAACAAGGCCAAATCCTGTCTACCGCTGCAGGCCCGGATTGTGCTGTTCTCCCTTGCTGCAACAGGGATGTTATCAGCATCAGCAGTTTAACTCCCACTGTGGAGTGAAATTCTTCCCTGTATAAAGTTCATGAAAGAGCTATGAACCATTTAAACATTTTGGTGGAAATTAAATGTTCCCAACTGACAGTTTGCAGGAGATTTCTGGGAGGCGCAGGCATTTTGCAGGCTCTTTGCCAGAGTTCTCTGCAGAGGCCAGTCAGAGTGCTTCAACCCAGTATGTGATTTGCTTAATGAAAGACACTTTTCCGGAAGATTTTGGCAGACACACCAGTTCAATTGCCAGGTGGTGGTCATGTGATTACAAATGTTACTGATCACATTAGGTATTTAATAAATCCCTCCAAAAAGATCACAGCTACTGTGTGGCTCTGAAGAAATGAATGCTGTGATGCATATTACTATGGTCACCATGTACTGGACTATTCCTCTAATCTCTACAATTTTGGACAAATACCTTCCTCAAACTGCCAAGCAGTCGATGACAACTATTAACTTCTATATAAAAACAAGACTGCTTTTAAGTAACTTTTCAGCTACGCATCATTGCAAAATACCTTTCATTTTATGTTAGGGCCACATTCTGACATTAAATATATCAAAGAATTATTAAAAAATATATCCTTAGATACCTTCTCTTGGCTGGTATGAAATGATGACACTCCATGGATTTTCTCAGATCTATGGCAATTTACATGTGCTGAGGATCTGCCCTGAGAGTCTCCGGACAATATTTGGCTTGAAATATGAGAAAAGTGACATGCTGTCCTTACATAAAACCCATGAGCACGACAGTCGTGCTGTTTCTTCTTTTGACATTTCAGTAGATGCAATATCACATAGAGGAATGGCAAAACACATCAAAGCAGGAACGGTCTAACTGAGCTGTACCTGTTTGGATAAAACCTGGTTTCCTTGTGGTGTGGCACAACTTGCCTGCTAGATCTTCCTTTAATTTATTGAGCAGAACTTTAAAAATGAGTGAGTGTCCATTGGCCAAATCCCCGTGTTCATTTCAGTATATTGCAGGAAAGCAGTCACAGAGGCCTCTCTTTTCTGCTCTCAGGAGGAGGGTTTCTGTCTGTAAAAAAAAACGACAAAATAACTGAATATATCACTTTAAAAGAATATATATAGTTGATTAGGCCTAATCCTCCAGCACAGCTGTAGTCGAGGTGCTTTGCTGAGTGAAAAATCATAGCTATTAGCGCTGGTTTTCATCCAGAAAAAGCGATACTAAATAAGTATGTTTAGAACTGGGATGCATGGAGAAATATTTTTGTAGTGTAAATGTTTTCATTTTCATAGTTAACTTGCAGGGACTAGGCTTGCAAAATTATAGAAGTGTGCTTTAAAAATCCAGAGCAAAATTCCCCTTTCAACTGCACTGCTTTTAATCCCTTCTGAATGATTGATGGCTTCCTATTGGTGATGTCTTCAGTACTGTGTAATTTAATTGTAGCAGAGAGCATGTGCTAAGGGGCCAGTTGTGCTCTCAGTTACACTACTGATTCTGCAGAATAACTCTGAGTTAAATCCAGCTGTCTTTCTAACCTTGTTCTCTGAAACTCATAACCTCTCAAGGCCGATCTCCACTTGAGTTTGTGGCTCCTATTTTAACCTGAGTTAATTTTTTGACAGTTGCCTTATTGCCAACTCCATTTGGAGATGTGCCTCTAGAATCCCATCAACACCTTAAAAACCTCTTTTTATGCTTATCAGTTGAAATTTCTGCATCCTGGTTTTGGAGAGTCTTGGTAGAAGAGCATTTCCAATTTTTTTTTTTTTTCCCTTTGTATCCAGGAAAAAAACAATTTCAGAATCTTAGCAATATTTAAGTATCATTATTTCATGTTCAAATATTCTAGGTACGTTGTGGGTTCTGGTCTTGCCTTTTGAGAAACAAAGGCTGAAATTCTTGCAAGACTTGCAAGAAGGGTCTCCAAAGTAGTTTGTGGATTAACTTTGAAGAATTTATTAAGAAGGAAAAAAAACAGGCTTAAATTTACCAGGAATAGGGTTCACATCTCCTCTGGACAAAACGTAAAATCTTGAAAAGCACTTGTTCACAATCAGAAATCCCTGCGAAACAACAAGGTCTTTAACCAGCTGGTGTTCCTTTGATGCGATGCCTCCTGACAAACTAAAATCAGCAAGGGCTGGATTAGCAAAGCTGCCCAGCTCCCATGGGAGCAGTTGGGCACTTCTCTGCAGTGACCTGCTCGCCCCTGCTACGACGTCTCTGCTGAGCAGTGGGCTGCATCAGCACGACCATCCCCTCTGGCCCCCATCAGTTCCTGCCCCACTTGTTTCTTGGTCTTTGATGTCAAACTTTTGGGGGCAGAGGCTGTTTTCAGAACTGCGTTTCCCTCCCTTCATGCCCCTCTACTGCTTTCAACCCAAACTTCTGACATCCACCTTTGCATTGAAGAGGACCGGCTCACTTTCCTTGTCCTCCTTACCAGCTTACTGCAGTGGCATGTGTTATTAAACGCTGCTTCTCGCTCATAAGATACAATGCTGGGTGAGTGAGCGCTCTCATTGCTGGCAGCCCAGGAGAGATCCTAAAATCACCTTAACATCACACAGGCTTATTGGATCTCGGTGTAATGCCTTCAAGCTGTCGTCATTACCACCAACCCTTCCTAGGAATCATTAATGATTTATGACAGGCAGGCAGAGCAGTTTTAGGAGCATTTAATTGTGACCTGAAAGACTGTGAACAAGAAACCTCAGTTACCAAAATGGATGCATGTCCTCCATGGGGTTTGGCCTCGTCACAGGGACTTTCCATACTCAAGAGTTCTTGAATGAAGTTATTTGGGGTAAAGCTTGAGGAGCTGAACAGCATAAGCCAAGCACCAGCACTTGGGTAAGGAAGTGCCTTGCAGCAAATGGAAAGCCAGAATTTGTCACTTGCAGAGCACTGGCCACTGTGTTTCGTATAAGCATCTCTGTATAATTCAATAACTTGTATTTAACTAAAGCATCTTCCCATGTAAAAAGCTGGTAATGTTTAAGAGAATGAACACAGCTATGACTGCACATGGTCATGCTGTATCATGCATAGGTACAAAACATTTCAGCCCAAAAAATCCAAACACGTGAAACCCCAAGGGTAATTGTAGAGCTGACGCCCCTCTATTCACAGCCTGCAACAATAGTTATTTGCATTATGCTGCTGCCTGCCCAGGAAATTCTTTTGCACCTTTACTATATTGCACTGAGAGCTCTGCCCTAATCAGCTTGCTATTGATTGCTCAAGAAAGCCAAAGTCACTCCAGCTTTACTGTGTGGGGCCCTACATGATTGCCCAAGGTCACGGGAAACCAAAGGAAAAGCAACATAATCATCTTTCTGTATTACAGTTTAAGACACATCGTTGATTTACATCTCTTTGGTTGATTCTGCTGTGAATGACATTTTGAGCAGAGTGTGACTTCAAATGAACAAGGGGCCCTTCCCACCTACCAAGGTGATGGCATCAGCCAAAGTCACCTAAAGGAACTAACTGGGAGATGTGACTACAACTTCACCTCAGCAAAAGCTGCTTCCCTGTCATGTTGCCAGTGTTTATGAAGCTGTTAGGCAAGGAAAAGTTGCACAGGATATATATAGGGGGGACTCTGTAAGATAAATATAGAGACCTGGTGCCCCTCGCATCCTTCCGGCAGCTCGGGGACCACCCATGCATTTTAGATAAGTAAATACTACCCCGGTCAGCATTTGCCTGTGCTTATCAACCCACATCTGTTTGAATTGCTAAAATCAGGACATTTACCATACTCCGAGTTTTTGTTCACTTCTGCACCACAAGGCAGGCATGTGAATTTATCAAGTGCTCTGTGTGCAAATTCACTTCTGACTTTTCCATAGAGAATATTGATGCATAAGTGAAGAATACAAGCACTTCCCTCTCCTCCCTGTCAGCCCTGCTTGCCTTTTCTCCTGCTCTCCCATTCACCTCCTGCTCCCGTCCAATGTGATCAGACCACAGCTCAGAAGCAATGTCTGAGATAGATAGAGAGGAATTCCTCTTTCCTATTCTTTTCTCCTTCATATATCTTCTTTTCTTCTCTGTTTGATGTAGGAGCTTTCTGGGTAATTCTTTGGCCTGTTATGCAAGAAGTCTGACCAGATGATCTTTAATGAACCTCTCCATCCTGTGAAAAATAATCTGTACATGGTGCAGTCCTATTTGCTGGAATGGAAGTGAGTCAGCAGAGATGTCATGTCTGCTGTGCACGGGCAGGCAGACCTGGCTACCAGGAGATAAAGGCTAAGGAGAAACATTTCTATAGAATCACATACCCGTGTGTCTAGATTATACGCCGTCTTCTTCAAATCCTGCAACGCCCTCTGCATGAACTCAAACGCATGGCAGTCGACACAGGGACGACCTGGAAAGGGGTGCAATAAAAAGACATCGCTGTCAAAGAGGAAATACTGAGAGATCTTGTACTGTCAAAATTAAAAAGCATTTTACTAGGCACCCACACATGCGCGTGGACAATGTTAGGGTGTCTGTGGACAAAGATGCTTCGATGCTTGTGCTCACTTCATTTGGGAAGAAAAGCAAAAGCAAATTAACATTTTGCTAATGCTCTTCTGAGCAGAGTCCAGGCTTGATTCTGCCAGGGCCTGGGTGTCTGCATCCCCCCCTCAGTTCTAAAACCCTCAGTTCTCATACATGAGTTATATCTCAGCCCTTACTCTGAAAACAGCAGCTCGCAGTGGTTCAGAGAGCAGAGAGGCAGGTCTGGTTGTACAGGAGCCCTTGCGGAGCAGCTTGGCAGGGGACAGAGCCGGATCTGCCTGTGCTTCCTTTCACCTGCTGCTGTATTTTCTCCCTGCCAGGAAGGCAGAGCGTCCCACTGTCCCTGCAGCTGCTGCCAGCACGCATGCAACCAGGAGCAGGGCAGGGAAAAGGCAGGGAAGAGGAGGAGGAGGAGGAGGAAGGGACTCGATGACTAAAATGATTCACTACTGGCCTCAGCATTCCCGCTTTGCCAAGACTCGCCCCGCACTGATGTCACTCCCTCCTTGGGGCTGCGACTCTCTCACAGCCTTAATGAAACGTGGGTTTTCAAGGGCAGAAATTGCAACTCCCACAGGGGATGCATCCCTGTGCATCTCCATGGAAGGAGGGAAAATGAGCAGAGCACCCTGACAGGGGAAGCGCTAGAATCCCTGTCACATACAGGCAGTTGAGCTGCTCTGACAGAGCAAAGGGGGTGAGAAGCTGCTGCTCGGGTGGCTAAGGAGTGTCCTGGTGCTGCAGGGTGCTGGGCACCTGCAGGACCCCATTCCCAACTCCCCCAGGGCTTGACGGGTCTGGGTCCGGGTGTTGTTTGACCCTCGTTCAGCCTCCTCCAGCTCCCCTCCATGTCGCTCACAGCTGGGGCAGGTCCAGACGTGCAGCTGGGGGTTTCATCCCAGGGATGTGGGGAAATGTCCCCATGGCCGTAAGACCCTCTCTCCAGACCCAGCTCCAGGTGGTTTGAACATGTTTTTAAAGACGCTCAAACAAACAAAAAACCAAACAAAACCCCAAACATTTTCAGTATTTCAGTATGAGAAAGGAAACTTGCATCCTTGATGTGCTCGCAGCACATCTGTCATTCCCTTGGCACTGTGGTCTGCTCCCTGCTGCTGCTGTGGTGTGGAGAGCACCCTGCTCTGGCTGCAGCTCAGGAGACTGCCGCATACCCTGTAGTGCTTGTCACCAAAGTGTTCTCAAAATCGGAACTCAAGGAGGAAAAAAACAGACCAAAGGTCATAAATGAACATCTCCTGCCCCTCACAATGTGGACAAAGTGCCTTTGAGAAGAGCAGTGAATTGCACAGTCAAACACTGAGTGCAATCCAGGAAGCCTTCCCGAACCCTCACGAAGGCCATGACTCTGCAAGAACATATGCTGGCATTGGCAGCAGCCGAGCACGCCGGTACGGACACGGAGATACTACTGGAGCTGCACAGCCGTGCCAAGGGACTACTGCACTTCTGCTACCCCTGCGAAAGCTGCTGCTCAGACATCAGAGCAGCTTCTGCAATAAAACGGTGGTGGCGCCGAGCGCATCTGCCCCTGCAGATCGGTGGGTTCCACATCAGATCCCACAACTTACACTAGCACACAGCAACTTGAAGCAGTTCCTTAAATAAAATGGATTAGGCAAGAGTAAGATTTTCCCACTCCCCCAACAGTCTCTACTTGCACTCACATTAATTTACCCATTGCTTACTGAATCCAGGTAAACCTGTGGCATTTACAACGTCCTGTGGCAATGAGTTCCACAGCTCAGCTAATCACTGTGCAAGCAAAATGCTGATTTGTCTGCTTTAAATTTATCATTTCTGCTTACATTTGCTGCCTCCTTTTGCATTGGAAGGCACAGTTAGTCTGTATTCATTATTTTTGCTTCACTTATGACTTTGCTGATCTCTATCACACCCTGCCTCAGCTGTCTCTTTTCCAGAGTGAGGAGTATTAGGCCGGTCTAGCTGGACCCATCCTCCCTTAATGCTCTCCGTACTTTCTATAGGATGCCCTTGGACATTTCCCAAAGTAGCTACGAATAAGGGTCTAGTTTCACAAAGGGGTTAAACAAATCTAAGTGTGTGCAATTGTCAATAGGCACAGTCCCACCTTCCTTTCTGTCCTTAGCTACATGGTCCCATCTTCCCTTCTTCACACTGCGAGGGACCGTGAAGTTGTTTTGTCCGCTGGTTGTTAATTTCCCCTTTTTCCCCCCAGAGCAGCTCCCTGGACTGTTTGAATGTACAAGTCTTTGACCCAGGACAAGAAATGGGGCAAGGGTAGGAGGCCAGGGTCAGGGGAAAGGCACAGGCAGCATAAACTTATACGAGCTTGCAACAATCATGAAATCAAACCTGAAGTCGCAGCACAGCAAAGTACAGCAAAGGGCTATTAATTCTTTGCTGACAGCTGGGAACAGGCTGGGATTCATAGGGAGACTTAACAGGTTTGTGGATTAACATAATGAGAATTAGCAAGAGTCAGCTGTAATTCTTCAAATGGATCCTGCCAGCATGAAGGCTGTATGTGTCTGTCTGGGGAGAAACAGGGGAGGAGTGCTTAAAATATGCTTTTTGGCCACATCCTTGGTGAAGAAGTGGAACTGAAAACACTGTGGAAGTCTGATTTACTTTTCCTCAAGTGCACACTGTGCTTGTTCTTTGTATTTCATGCACGTTGGCTAATGAAACCTGACTGATCAGTTTCTGTTCTTCAAACTCCATATTTCAGCTTTTCAGTAAACAATCTGGGTTCTAAATGCAGGGGGAGGTTGGGGAAATTGCTTCTATTTTTTAGTGGATGGTACTGAACTTTGAAGTGTTCTCTGCAAACGTTTGCAGCACTACTTTATACTCAGTCTTTTGCAAATGCAAAGTGCTTGTGAATTTAGCACAAGGATGGGATTAATCACTACTAATTCGCATTCTTTAATTCACATTCACAATAAGCTAGGCATGGCTCTTCGATTCGCTTGTAAGCAAAGTGGAGAGCAGGAGATGATTCTCTAAACCAGGTATCACTCGCACCCCACAGGGCAGTATCTTTGTGCGATACAGAGAACTGTGATTCCCTCACACCCCTTCACAGAACTGAGCCTATTGGGTCAGTAAATGCCTCTGCTCCCTTATGCGTAGCAAAACCAGAATTACTATGGTCAATGTACGTCATGTCTTTCCTGCTAGAACTTGCACTACAGCCTAATTTCTCCCCCTGGGTCATTTAGGCTCATACAGCCACCAGTTTACCTGGGTGCAGTGACCTGGTGTACATAGGTGTTGCTCTTTCGCTTCCCCCAGTATGGGCCAGTGCTATCAGCTCCTTGGTAAGAAACAGTCGGTGGAGCTGTCTTGTAAGACAAGATGTAGATTCCTACATCCATACTCGATCAAACTGAACATCTCTCTGGCCCAGTGTCTTGCCTTGCATGAGCTACATACCTCATGGGAAAGAGCCTGTGCCCAGGAGCCTTCCCAGCCTTCAGGAAGAGCTGACATGGAACAGTTCATCTCTGTGAGAATCTTGGCCGTCTAGATAGGCAAGTGCCTCCTGTGGCCGGGACCACTCCAGCCGTTCACAATCATGTTTCCATGCCAGGAAGCAGCCTTGGACACTGTTTACCTTCCTGGTATAGACATGGCCTCCATTGCCAGATGCCCACAGAAGTGCACAAAAATATGGCAATATGCAGGGATGCCTCCTTATAAAATCACCCCCAGGCTTCAGCAATGTGTGACTCACTGAGTTCCCAAGCCAGAAGAGGTGATTCTGCATCTAACAGCCCTTTCTGAGACTTTTCTCTCTTGAATTTACCTAATTGGGCCTGCAATTCCTTGTAAACTTTTAGCATCTGCAGCATCCTACGGAAGGAGCTCCACAAGTTAGCTATCAGAAATAGCACTATTGGGCAGAGGAAGGTACTTGGAGTGGTTAGCAGCAATGAAGCTCTCTCAACAACCAGCTAATTAGGAGCATCCTGGATTCCTTAAACAATCACACGCACACAAAAAAAAACCCAGCACAAATCAATCATGATCAGCAGGGAGCTGATCATGAGCTCTTGGCCTCATTTCAGACAGAAATAACTTCCTAGCATTCGTAGCATAAAGCTACGTAGGATAAAGCTTCCAGCCTCCTTATTCAGGATAGAGCAGCCTCCCTCCTCAGAAAGACCCACTCCTGCCTTCAATCCCACATCCTCAAATGCAAGAGCAAGATAAACCTTTCTCAAGGGCTCTTCAGGGGACTCCATAACCTGTCGCAAGATGCAAAAAAGATTAAATAACACCTTGAATGTCCATTGCCAAGATACACTTCTAGAGATAAAACAGGAGTTTTCACTACCAAGTGGAATGAGGAACTACTCTGTACTTTTTCACTGATCTACCTCTGCTAACAAAGACATGCAAAGGGCACATATAATGTATTTCTCAATCACCATATTCTTCTTGAGAAGACAAAATGAACTAGTTGCCACAAAAATTATTCAAGTTAATTAATGCACACGTGTTAAACAGACACACAGAATAGAGATGAGTGTGATACGAGAACTACAGCAGAATGGAACCCAAACTTAGCGCTGTCCCATTAATAAAAAATAAATAATAAAAACAAACAAATAAAGAGAATAAAATGGAAAAAAAAAACAAATCAGAATTCAAGTCCTGCGTAGATAGCCATTGGCTTGTTTAAAAAATAGTAATACTAACCTGGAAGAAGCAGACCTTGTGTTAAGGATATTGGTGGTCATGTAAAAAGACTGCTGTGATAAGAAGTAAGTGTGACTAGTAACTAGAGATTGGTTTGTAAAGAGTTACCTTCTTTTTTTTTTTCCCCTCCCAGAGGCTATTTTACATTTCCAATGAGTGAATACTTCATGCCTGTCCGTGTCAAAAGCCCTGAAAATATTGACTCCTTCTCCTAATTCTTTGTACTAATACCTCATCTTAGAGCTAGGAAAGTGGGACTTACAGGTCTTAGAGCTAGGAAAGTTGAACTGGAAACTTGTTCAAAATTACAGAGCACGTTAATACAGAGCTGGGAACTCCCAGCTCCAAGTGCTGTGCACAATCTAATCTGTCATATTTTTCTTTTTTGCTTTGCAGAGCCGCAGCCTGATTTCGGAAATCGGTGCATGTTTTACAGAAACGCTCGCTGGGCCAATTGCCCCCATGTCAGTCCACTGCAGTTACAAGAAAGTTGAACTTGACCTTTTGTTCCAGCCAACCACCAAAACGCACAAAATGCAATGCCCTAGCAGAAATAAACATGATTTTCCTTCTAACAATACCCAGCCTAGCATGGACATTTTGTGCAGTGGCAGATCTGGAGAGCCAGCTCTTGAGAAAACAAAAAGACCTACAACCAAACACTTCTCAAATAAGCTCAGATGGAAATTGCAGATGAAAATACAGTATTATTTTTTCCCGGGTAACTGAGAAACTGTGTTTCTTCGCTTGCTTGCTCTTTCTGTGAGGGTTGTTTGCATGTGGTTTGCTGACAGGCTACAAAGTCACCATTATACCCTTGCACGTGAGGCAACGCAGCATCCCCCTGGCACTGAAAACCTGCGTGGATGAGACGGGCAGGCTGAGGGAACGCCGGCCCGACGCGGTGCCGTGGGGACGAGGGAGCGCGGCCCGGCAGGGCACCTACTTTCGGCTGGAATGACGCTCCCTGCGTCCTGGCTGGCCCCAGCAGGCCTCACGCTGAGCAGGCCGAGCACCGAGAGGAAGGGGATGGCCACGCGCATCACGCTCCACGCAGACGGCAGCGCCATTGCTTTCGTCAATAATTCAAGCCGTCTTCCCAGCCTGAAATGGGCAGAAAGAGTGAGAATCAGCGGCTTGCTCCCGGCACACTCCGTTCCCCCCAGGGCAGCGGACGAGACACGACAGGCACCGATGCTCGTGTCCCCGCAGCCCCTTGCCACACACGTCACGGCCGTGACCGCGGAGGTGCAGGCGCCCCAAGGTACTTGCCAAGCACCTGATCCTGCTCCTCGGTGATGTGACAGACCCTCGGACGGAGCCGCAGCGAGCAGGCGAGACAGCGCGCGGCCACACGGAGCATGCGTCCCCTCTTGCATCTCCCCCTTCCCTGATTAGGGTCATTGCCATGGAGATTCGCTATAGCAACACTGACAAATTGGAGCTGCCAAGTGGAGGAAAAGATTTAAAGGAACAGATTTAAAGGGACCGCAGTGATGGCCGTGGCTCTGCCCAGGCATTGCCTCTGCTCCCCAGAAGGCCACCTCCTCCCCTTGGTGAGCACGGGTTGCTGCAAGCCCTCAAGAGGCTCTTGGGCAATATTTTTGTTTCTCTGATTCTCAAAACATCTGTTCTAAAATAGGCAGCACCCGTCCCTTGTTTTTGCTGCAATTCACTTAAAGTGAAGTTCTCTTCCAGGAGGTTTCAAATGGAATGAAAGCTCAGAAGTTTGCTTGGAGGAAACAAGACCTGTGACTGCCCTCTTGCTCTCTGTGTCAAGCCCCATTAAAAGCTTAGTGCAACTCCGGTTATAATGAATCCTTGTGGACAACAGCCATGCGAATGAGCAAGCCGGGAATGTAAATCCTGCACAGCATCATGCTAGGTAGCCATGATAACAGCCCCATCAAAACTGATGCATGGTCAAATTTTAAGAATGCTCCCTTCAGGCTTGAGTTTTCATCTGGGATTTTGCTAGCAGGCTGTGTCCAGACAAAGCTCATGCATGAATCCTCCCGGACAGGCCATATCTATAACTATCTGGCTGAACCCAAGCTCTCAGAAAGTGGAGGGCATTTAGGAAAAAACAAACAAACAAAACAAAACAAAAAAAAATAGTGGCTCTGAAGACCTGGTTGCCTCAGAGCGTGGTTAAAAATTCAAACTCACAACATATCTATTCAATCTTCTGCTTTGTGATTCTCTGTGGGAAAAATGTTCCACCTTCTCCCACTTCCTGATCAGGAACAGAAGAAATAATCTGCCAAATTGTAGTATCACCGGAAGTATCACCGTTTCCAGGCCGGGACAGAATTTAACATGGGCTTTCTTCAGCCATAGGGAAAATCACCAGCAAAACTCTACTTCTGCTTTGCTTGGTTCTCTCTCTTCCCTCAGAATTACTCCTCATAAGCCTCATTTCAAACCTTATGCTTTTGAATGAGGTTAGTCTGAAAGTTGCCTCAGAGGACTCCAGGCTCTTGACTGTTTTCTGACAAAGTGGAATTGCCCTGTGCAGACAAGAGAGGACTTGCAGTGGGTCAGCCCAGAACAGTGTATTTAATTGCTATGGGAATGACACACTGAGCTATTTTTTTTCAGCTCCAAAGTGCAAGTGGAACCCAGGTTCCCTTGTGTAAAGGGTCCAAATGAAGGTCTCAGTCAAAGGGTCTTTGGAAAGTATGTCAGAGCACACGTGTTCCTCAGAGAGGCTTCACTGATTCCAAAGGAAGCTGGGACTCATAATCCAAGCTCTGAAGTTGGATGGCTAAAGTTAAACAGGGTGAGATGGCCCATTTTACGTTATCTATTTTTTCAGAGGCCCTCAGATGCCTGCTGAAGGAACAGCTTTGTAAGAGTTAGGATGTAATGGAGAACATTGCAAAGTTTGTCTATACACTCATCTTGCGGTGGTCACAAAATGTAGCCCACTTCTTCACAGATTTAGATACCAAATGGAAATTCTGGAGCAAAATCAAAACCTTACACTTCCAGTAACCCTGGTACATGTGTTCCTTGACCACAAACATTTCATGGACCCATGGGCCATATCATACTTGTCATACATGAGCTTAAGGAAGAACACAGAAAGCAATTTCCTACAGATTCAATAACCTTGACAACATGCAAGTAGCTGTTTAATACTTTTTTGAGGATCTAGTCTTTTCTAAGAGTGAAATCTCTTTCATAATCACTTACTCTTTCCAGTAAGTAAGTTGAACAAGGAGCAGAACACACAATAATTCCCCAATCCTTCATTTTAAAAGCAGCCCTGTATTAGGAATTTAGGTCTCAATTCCCATGAGCATCAGGCACCAACTCCAGGTTATTTCAAAGCAAGTTTTTTTCATCATATTTTCAAATGTAAAGGAGAGTCTCTCAGCATATCTGAGAATAGTTTAAGTTTTATTTATTGTGCCTGTGTGACTTTATGCTTTCATGGATTAAACTAGACTGGCAAGAAGGAAAATCAAAGCTATGAAATACAGTCCAAAAGGCTGATCGTGAGATAAATGCAAAGATACAAACCTCAGAGCCATATCCTTCCTGGGGCTAAACAGTCTAGTGACTAATAATGATGTTTTCAGACTTCTTGACATCCTCATCCCTGTAAGACAACAGCATGATGGGCGGCAAATTGTCTAGATCCCTCCTCAAAGCCCAGAGCTCAGAGCAGTCTGCAGCTGGCCTGAAAAACTGTCAACGTAGGGAACCTGTGGCAGATCCCAAAACTACCAGCAAGGAGAAGAGCAGCTGCAGCTGTGCTCTTGTGTGGTTCCCGAACCAGACCAAAGGAGACAAGCTGAGATCTCCAGGAGGAAAAGCAACCACTGAAGTAAGCAGAGGTGTTACCAGTTTAATTGCAAAAAGTAAAAAAAGTGGATCAGAACTGCAGATTTGGGAAAACTTGGAAGAAAGAGAAGCTGATTATCCCTGAAATTTATCATTCCAGGATGCCAAGACTCCAAGGATGTCTCTGTGTTAGGAAATGGTACTAAGCTTAAGATAACATCCTTTTTTTTTTAATTGCTCAGGGGCAATCAGACATTGCACTTGCCACAATACAGGGTTTTGTCTCCAATGTCAAGGTTCTCAAGAAGTGTGAAAAAAATCCCAAACACCTCTTGGTGACATAACTGTGTGGTCCCAGATGCAGCTCACAATTTATAGGGAATAGGAGCCAGGCCCCATGGATACCATGTGTTACTTCAGCATCACTTCCAGCAAAGCTAAAGAAGAGAGGCATGTGGCTTGCTATGCTGTTATATTCACTATTGTGGACCAGTATGACTAATTGTTATCAGTATCAGTTTACCTTGAATAATGAACAAAGTCCAAGAAATTCATGAGAGTCCATCTGAAGGCCATGGTATTTCCCAGAGGGCTCTCTGGACATTTTTTTTTTTTTTCCTACAGAGAATCTTCAAAAAAATCAGAAATTTCTAGACATCTACTGGGGAGATGATTAGTGAGGATAGATAGGTAGCTCCCTAAAAAACTCATTTATTGATGCCTGAATGTTGAAAGTTACATTTTTGCAGTGAGAGAAGAAAATGTGTTAAATTAATTAAAATCACTAGGATTAAAGGCCCTGATTAAATATATATGTATAAAAGGAAGAAGAAGACAAGGGTCCTAATTTTAGATTATGATCATGGGTACTATACCTATTGTAAGTCCTTTACTGAACTTAGAAGGAGAAAGCACAAAGACAGAGCAATCTGGCAATGTATTAATTGAATAAGAAAGTGGCAAGATAATATAGACACAACCTCAGAGAGGTCAAGTCACAAAATGAGATGCAAATAGTGAGAAACATGAAGAGTAGTGAGAAAGCATTCTCTAAACATATATAGAATACAAGGAAGACGGGAGAAGAATTTGTTCTATTTTCAGTGTAAGGGAAAACTAATCAAGATATTCACTGGAAAGAGTCACAGTGCTTAGTATCTATCATCACAAAACAAAGTCAACTGCTGAGAAGGTGACTAGAGCAACCAATACAAGTGAAAACAGTTTAGGTAGGAATGGCTTAGCAGAAAATTCTCTGGGTGTATTCGCAGTGGCTGTATTTTAAAAAGGGAATGAGATATTGGAAAATTGCAGCGGGGGGCGGGGGAGGGAGGAGGAAGCAGTTTATCTTTAATCCCTGGAAATATATGGAAAGAAATAATCCCACCAGAAGTTTGCAAGTAGTCAGAAGACACCAAGAAGAATTTTGTTGTGAACCAAGTGAAACCAGTTTATTTTCCTTCTATGACACATTAACAGGTTTTGGGATAGGGAAAATACACATTTAATTGACTTCAGGAATGTTTCTGATACTGTGTCACAGAGCATCCTCAGAAGTAAACTAAACACCTATTCTGAGGTTAGCAAATGTCCAGGTAACTCTGCTGAGAGTTAGCCATGGGTCACTGACACAGCAGAGATCTCTCACAGGCTTCTGCAGAGCCTCTTGGGTCAAGGAATATTCAATATTTCATTAGTCAACTGGATAAGCAGAGGGGTAATTTGCAGTGGTTGTAATGCCACCCTGGGAGGTTATAGGCAATGCTGGGGGATGGGACTAGAATTCTAAATCAGACAAGACAAGCTGTAAAAATGGTCTAAAAACAGAATAAAAATTGACAAAAGGAAGAATTAGGCACTACACTTCATCAGGAATAATCAACTGTATATATGCAGAATGCAGAATGGCAGCATAAGTGGCACTTCTGTAAGGAGCGAGAGAATCACAAGCTAAAATAAGGCTACAATATTGTGTGGTTGCCAAGAAAAGGCAATTATGGTGGGATGTACACAAAGGAGTGTGATGGTTTAAACTCTGTTCAGCACAAGGTCTTACCTGCAGTACTGAATCTATCTTTGGTCACTGCAGTACAAGTGTGCTATGAACTGGGAGAGACCCCAGTGACAACAGAAATGATCAGGGATTTAGAACTCAGGTTCTCCAAAAACTGCTGAAAAAACTGGGGTTATGTAACGTAAAGAAGAGAAGGGGACATGATATTTCTTCTCAAGGACATAAAAGGCTGTTGCATAGAAACTAGTTCTGAGCATCTCTGGT